CCCAGTGATTGGCTGGTGGGACATAGACACTCATGATGCCTTTCTATTGGATGCCCCACACTGCTGCAGGGTCACACCCCACTCAGGCAGGTACAATCAGCAGCGTAACACCTGGAATTAACCAGATAATAGCCTACTCTAAATCAGCTAGGATGATTACAGCTCTAGCAATGCTAAATTTCTAGTAGCCACTCTACAGAAGATGGTAGGGGCTACACATGTACCATTTCCTTTAGATATAATATACAGACTTATATGACTAAATAAGCCATAGAACTGCAAGAAATGTTTTTTTGCACTAAATATTTAATCTTATTGTCAAGATATTAAAATAATTTCAATTGCTAGTATAAAGAAAAATTAGTAATAAAAAAAAACATTATTGTATTTTTTCACACACTAAACCTTGTCCCTCTTGACTATTTCTTACAGTTTGGTCATTTGCTATAGCCACATTACCCTCCTTTTAAATATACAGCATTTAGTTACAATCTTACCAGCACATCTCCTTCTTGTGCTGCCAGTTTTAAGGGAGTCAATCCATTTTTGTTTGTAATACTTTCCAAACAAGAAACGTGTTCTTTTGAAATTAATGATGCCAAGAAATCATATGTCTTGCAGGCCATAGTCTTATTTGGATGCAGAACCAGAATATGGAATACAGTGTTACCTTAAAAGAAATAAGATATTTATAGTCAATGTCTTAGATATTATTTCAGTAGGTGCTCAGTGTATAATATAAATGAAAGGCAGTTCAAAGCCATACAGATCTCTTCTTAGCTACTAACTCCTAAATGTTATTTGATTAGTGGAATGAAAGTAGGTGGTAACTGGGAATATGTTTTTTTTTAATCTTCAAAAAAAAAAAACAGGCTAGGAATGTCACAGTAATTTAGTTTAGATGCATTGCATTATTTGCATTTCTGACCACTGGTGTTAAGCAGAAGTGGTCCTCATGCTTAAAATAATAAAATGTGGCTAGCATACAGTTTGCCACTGTCACACTGTCTACTGGAAGGTGCTGATGTGATAACCAGCTTTGCTTTTCTTCTTCTAGCTTTTATAAATTAACCCTTAATATGTATTGTCTAAATGTATTCCATAGTGATGAGTGAATCAGGGCCAGTGTATACTGACAAAATGTTCACTATGGATTTCTGAACATTGATTTGATTTGTCACTCAACAAACTCATTTGTTTTAGAGCTATTAGCGATACCAGTTACATCAATTCTTTACTTTGGTTTCTAATTATTGATGGTTATGTGTTTAGATGAAGCACTGAGATCTTGAAGAATGCTAAATTATGTTTTACTTGCTTAGAAGAACGTTACATGTATGTATACAGCATTGTGAAGGAAACATATAGATAGAAAAAACAGCTTCCTGTGTATCATAGATAAGCATGCAAATAGAGAGTAATATAGCACTACACTGCTATCTACAGCTCAGTAGATGCTGTTGTATTTCCAACAATTATAACTGTAATTTTACCTGCAATGTATTGCAGCAGTGCTGTTCTTATACTTAAAGAAGATGTCCAGGAAAACTTGTTATTACCCCTTGCAGTGGGCTACCCCCCTGAACTGCTTGCATATCTACTGCGCCCTTTGGATGAATTAAATAAATCTGCCTGTAATTAGGATGTGTTTAGCAGAGGTCAGAAACACCAGCCAAGACCTCTTTTTACAGTTCTTGCGAATGACAACTAAAATGAAAATGATCCAGCAAGAAAGTTCTAAGCCTGGAGGAAGACACTTAAAAGTAAGGATAGGTTTAAGAAAACACAAGAAGGATAGGATGAAGAAAATGCAAACCAGCTCCTAATAGCCAAGAAGAATGGCAAACTCTTGAAGGAGTTAACAGCTCACTCTGGGTTGTAGATCCCAACTGGGTTGACAGAAATAGTGCAATGATGGTACATGGTGGGCTTTATTTACTAAAAAAAAAAGGACAGCATGTTCACTTTTGAAGTGAATTTTCACTTTGCAAAGGGAATTTTCATCTTAGTGAATTAGGTGAAATAAAGTGGAAAATTCGCAAATAATAACCACTTGTATTGAAGAAGAATACAAAAAATGTTTTTTTTGTTTTGCTTCCACATGATTGGATTATTTAAGCCAGCACTAATTGACTGAACTAAGTTAATTTTCTTTCCGCAAAGGGAATTTTTACTTAGTTTAGTGAATGAGGTAAAGTTATGCTGACTTCCATCATCAAATCATGTGAGAAAGATCCTGTTTTTTTTTAATTTCCTTGCACATGGTTGGGTATTCTTTGTAATATGAATGTTTCGCCTCATTCACTAAAACAAGTGAAAATTCACTTTGCAAAGTACAGGCAGTCCCCTGGTTACGAACAAGTTAGGGACTATTAGTTTGTTCATAAGTGGAATTTGTATGTAACTTGGAACAGGTACATTTTTTAAGTGTAACTCCACACAACTTTTTTTTGTTTTGGATAGCATAGTGAACGGTTTACCCCCTGTAATGTTTGTTTTGCTGTGTGTGGCCCTGTTCAGATTTCACCTCACTTTCTGTCCCTGTGACAATTGGATTTTGAAAATTTTGGGTTGTCGTGGAGACAAGGATTGGTGATAAAGCTTCAGGGTAGACACCTTTTTCCCATGATCACTCTTACAGGAGTGAATTTCCCTTCCTAGGGGTAGATTTCCTTTCACTTCCTGTTGTCTCAAGGACAGGAAGTGAGATTAAATCTTTCTAATGAGGATACAGACATCAGTAAAAACCTCACAGTGATCCAGAAGAAGAGGTGGGCACCCCTCGCCTGCATGTCTAAGAGCCAACTTCCAGTAATGTACATACAGTACTACGAACTAGACCCAAAAAGGCGGGCACTCCTCGTCAGCACGAGCGCAGTAGCATTACAACTACCCCTGCTGTACAGTAATAGCCTCCGTTTGTAAGTAGGAGTCGTATGTTAGTCGGATGTATGTAACTTGGGGACTGCCTGTAAACATATGTTTGTCCTTGACATAACTAACCACTTCTCAGTTTTTGGAGAAGGGATAGGGTCTGTGATCTCTACAGATGTATTCAAATGTTTTTCTATTGTAACTTCACTATATGAAGCAATGACAAAATTGTTTGGAAATGTTCACCTTGACTGTCCTGGGCATCTAAAGGTGCTCCTTTCTCAACTAGTAGTCGGATAATTTCCACATTTCCCACACAAGCAGCAAACGAAATGACATATTCTCCTAAAATAAGAACACAGATATATATAAGGACACAGAATTAATATCTATATACAATCAGCTCTATTTACATAATCAGAGTTTAAACCGTTATTAGAATAATCTGTCATAAAAGAAATCCAGCATGGCCATTAATGACCTCCTTCTGAAGATTCTAAAGTAGGTGTTACACTGACCTGCTGGATTCAATACTTTGGGGTTAATTTACTAAAAGTAGGCTGTTCACTTTGCAATTGAATTTGCAGCTTGCAATGGAAGCTCCTCTTAGTTCAGTGAATAAGGAGAGGCTCTGCTAACTTCCCTCAATCATGTGCAAACCAAAATACTGTGGGAGGAATTTATCAAAACTTGAGCAGACAGAATCTGAAGCAGTTGTCCTTGGCAACCAATCAGCTTCTCTCTTCTGTTTGTTTAGTTAAGATTTGAAAATGAGAGATCAAAGCTGATTGGTTGCAATGCAAATCTGCTCCAAATTTAGTCTGTTCAAGTTTTGATATATTCCCCTTTGGTTTTTCTATTTTCACTGGTTGTGATTGGCTATTACACTGCCTGGTCAAACAATAAATCACACTCTAATACTTTGTTGGACCGCCTTTACCTTTGACTATGGCACACATTCGCTGTGACATCACTTCAATAAGCTTATGCAATATCACAACATTTATTCCCATCCAAAGCTGCATTAATTTTTTACCAAGATCTAGTAGTGATGATGGGAGAGTCGGACCACTGTGTAAAGTCTTCTCCAGCACATCTCCAAAGATTTTTAATGGGATTAAGGTCTGGACTCTGTGGTGGCCAATCCATGTGTGACAATTAGGGATGCACCAATACCAAGTACCGTACAAGTACACATACTTTTCCAGCTCCAAGACTAGACTAGAGAAAAACTCAAAAATTAGGAGGCGGCTGTCATTTGTAAGGAGCACACAGAGCTCCTGGGATTTGTACATCTCTGTTTTAATGTATGATTTTGTTTTTATAAATATATATAAGTGATGCATCGATACCATTTTTGCAAGTACGAGTACTGATACTCCTCCAAGTACTTACAGACACAACTACTGATACATTTTTGTTTATTGTCATGTGACAGTTTTTCTAAAACAATATCAACTAATGATTTCAGGACAGTGGTGGAGAGCCAGAGCCAGGTCCCAGCTGCAACCGCTGTAACCCTGGTAATTCTCATGAAAATGCCAAGTATCGGCACTGGTATCTGAACTGGTATCGGTGCATCCCTAGTGAAAATGATGTATCATGCTCCCTGAACCACTCTTTCACAATTTGAGTCTGATTAATACCTGCTATTGTCATCTTGAAATATGACTGTGCCATCCGGGAATAAAAAATCCATTGATAGAAAAACCTTGTCATTCAGTATATTCAGGTAGCAGCTGACCTCAATTTTGGGAACATAACATTGCTTAACCTAGGCTCATTATCCAATGTGAGGCTCTTACCTAATTGCTTAGCTAAATCCAAATGGTGACTTTTTTTGGCAAAGCAGTGTATTTTCAAATTGAAATTTCACCACATTCACCAAGCTGAGTACAAATTCCCCTGCAATTTGAACAGCCTATTTCAACCCCTTTGAGTCACTGACCTGCAGGATGTATGCAAAGCATAAAAGTCAGGGAGAGGTTAATGTTTTCTCAGCATACTTGTTTTGGGTCAGTGACTCAGAGTAGTCAAGGAATAGGGTCATCATAACAACCAGAAAACTAGGAATTTCAGAGGGATGGGTGGGCTTTTCACATCTAGATTTCTTTTAAATGACTAAATATAATACATTTTGTCAACACATCTATTTTGACTTTTACCTGACTGAAGATTATACTTAGCTGTAATCAAGGGAAGTGTTACCTATTCTGCTTAATGAAGCATCTCTGCAGAGGTTCTCATTTAAGCCCCGTTCACATTGAGCGATTTATCGCGCGGTAATTCCCGCGATATTGCGGCAAATTACCGCGCGATATCGCGCTCCAATGCATTTCAATGGGGCAAAGGGTCTTGCTGTCGCGGGTCGTGTGTCGCTACAGCAGGACCCTTTTTGGAGCGGATTTAGCCGCGATTCAAGCTTGCTCAATGCAAGCTTGAACGCGATATCGCTTGGCAAATCTCGCGCAATATGCAAATCACGCAACAAACGTGCGGTTTGCATATCGCACAGTGGGAACGGGGCCTAAAGTGTATTTAAGCCCAAGATCAGAAATGTAACATGTTGCACCTTATCAGTCTCTAGATGTGGAGACTGCATTCATTTTATTTTTTCAGGCTAAGAACATTTTCTACAAGTACAACAAATACCTGTTGATCCTGCTAGAAATCCTGTGGGCTTGTAAGTTCCTGAATGCTGAACAGATATGTCAATGTTATCACCAGTTCTCTGAAACACACAGGCACAACAAGGCAAGCTGCTCCTCTGCTCCCAGCTCCCCACTTCTCCTCCCTCCCCCCTCCCTTCTCCAAGCCAGTATATAGATAGCTGCTGGAGACTGTGTTCTTCCTCGTGATCTTGTACTGGACAGGAAGTTCAGGTTAGCTGAGCTGAGAGAGTTGGAGCCAGCTGTTTGGAAACATAATGACTGTAAGTGTTTGGGCACAATTTAAAGAAATACTTTTCTGAGCAGTGTACATTTGTTTAACCTCTTGCCGTCCGCACATCGTAAAATTACGGTGGATGGTGGATCCTTCCCGGCGGGGTCATGTAAATGTATGTCTCTTTAACAGATAACAGCCGTTACCGGCTGTCTCATACAAGCGTTCGGCCTGCTCTATAGCCGGCCGATCACTTGTATAACCCTAAAATGTGTGGCGCCCCCCTGCTGCCACTCCCCTCCCCCTCAGTAGCCACTGCCGGTTATCCTGGGCACTGCTGTCCCCCCTGTGGTGCCCGGGATTGACAGGACTGGCACAACGGCTGCTCGAAGAGTGAAGGAGGAGATATCAGCATTTCCCACCGCTGCTCTCTCCCCCTTCTCTCTCTCTAAAGGCCGAAGCAATGTCTATTACATCACTTCCGCCTTTAGCTGTTATTTCTCTGGCTGGGAGCCTGAGAAGAAGCTGATGAAGCAGATCAAATTGCTACTTTGTGCCAAATAATTTTTTAGTAGACATAATAAAACTGGGGAAAAAAAGACCTATTAACCTGGAGTTATAATAAAATAATACAGTTTCTAAATATTTAACAAACTGAAATGCTTGATGTTAACACTAATAAAGGTGTAAGAATACATACAGAATCTGGAGCAGTTGCCCATGGTAACCAATCAGCTTCTTTCTTTTTCAAATCAAAAATGAACAAACTGAAGAGAGAAGCTGAGAGAGAAGCTGATTGGTTGCCATGGGCAGTTTTGATAAATCCCCCCTATAGAGTCTTATGTATGGATTTATTCTATTTAAGAACTAAAGATATTTCTCCTAAGCCCCCTATCGGCAGCAGACATGGCCTGAAAGTGTGAGTCTAATTGGTGGCTATGAAAGACCAATTCCATTTCATAGTAAGATCACATTGATATACAAAGCCCTTACTAAACTTGAAAGCTTATGTAAGATGTGGGGCTTGAATAAACTATTAAACATTTTGGTACCTCTTTCATATTAAATTCTTACAATGGGCTAAGGTAGCAAATAAGGAGTTAGAGGGTTGATTGTTGCACCATATGCACCAGTTGGAAGTGCTTCAACTACAGTGTCAACTAATACCCTACTTCTTCTTCATTGATTATACCATAATAATAATGTCCTTTCTTGCTTGGTGCAAAAAATGTCCCCATAGCGCAAGCGTTGTACATGTCAGCCTCCCTGTCAATCAGCTCTTTAACCATCTCTATATTCTGGTTGATGATTGCTATGTGTAGCGCCGTCTCCCCTGGGTACAAAGAATAACAGACATAAGTGTACCATTAAAGTCCATAACATTACTAAGACAATTTGCATGTGTCAGGTACATTATATCTTATCAGACAGCAAAATAATTGTCCATCTTCAAGCCTAGATTTATTAAACTCCATTATACCATTTAATACCATATTAATCTTTGAAACACTATATTCTGTACAACCACATAATGGGACATTAATAGCGGGTAATGTTGCATTAAAAGCAATGATGGGCATTTTAGAAATTGATGGTAATAATTTGCTATTAGGATAGAATCACTATCAGAATATCTAGTGTGGTGGCCCCAGCTAATGACTGGATGTTTTTTAAGTCATGTTCAAACTTGAACCCATGCGAAGCTTGAAAATGTTAATGATCATTTCTAAATTAGTGAGTTATTTCATGCAGGCTACTCAATGAAAGCTGGAGTTTCATTGGCCATAATGTTCCCCATTTTATGATACATTGCTGAGGCTGAGGACCCATATCTTTAAAATGACAACAAAGGCCCCTTTAGAAAAGTTTAGTAATGGCAATGTACAAACAGGTACTTCTAGATAATTACAGGCTTTGTATTCTTTGCATACCTTGTTTTTCTTTTTCCTCCCCATTCTTCTCACGGTGGCCATTTTTACTAAGGGCAGATTAATCTATCACCCTTGAACTGTGAACATAGTACACGGTTGCATGTAAATATTGAAGATGTTTGTCGCACCTACAGACTGGTACTAATGCTGTCCTGCTTTACCTGCTTATGGTGAGCTGTGATATTGGAGGTAATTTTGCAATAAAGTTCCTGTTTGTTTACTACAGTGGGTGTTAAGCAAATTATTACCTGCCACATCTCAGTTGCACCATGATGGGAAGGTAAAACACAGGGTGAGCGAGTTTTTCATTTGAGGTGAAGGCCGGTGAAAGCACATGGAGATGGACTAATATTAAGATACCTATTTGGATAGATTTGGGACTTTTCATGTTACGTTGTATCCACTAATCACCACTTTTGGTTACATAGATGATAGTTAAAAAAAACACAGGTCCATCAAGTCCAACCTTGGTGTATGTGTGACCTTTAGGCCCCTTTCACATGTCTGTTCCGATCAGTTCTGCCTGTTAGTTTTTCAAGTGGACCTGAGCTAATGTTAGTCTATGGGCAGGCAGATGCAAATGGATGTTTGTCCGTTTACATCTGATTACCTTCCAGTCCCCATAGGCCTGAACAAAAAAAAAAATATTTTTGTTTTAGGACCTAAACGTGACGGATCGGAAGTAAAAGGATGTAAACAGACTCATGCACATTTACATCTCCTGCCCATAGACCCAACTTGGCTTCATTAAGCTCTGTTTTTGAATGGAAGTTGACATCCTTTATTTTCTCCTCTGATTCAGTACGGGATCTGTGGATTGGAATGGATGTCGTCCATGGCAGAGCCCAATTCACTGTAAGAGGGTACACTGCATGTGTTTAGTTTATTTATATGATCTCTACATTACGTATTTATATGGATTTTACGTTTTATTTTTATTTAATAAAAAAAGTCAGAAACATAAAAAAAAGTAAATTAATAACATATAATATTTAAATTCTTACTAAAACAGTCTTATGTATTTTAATTTCTATACTACGCTCAGTGTTCATGAAGTTGTAGATAATTGTATTACCTTCTTGTCGTCTACAGGTGGCGTTGATACTTTAATCTCAAGTAGAGAACATTAATTTCAATAGTACAGAAATGGAGCTGACCCCATGCTGACACATGAATGATTATTTATTTTAATCATTTAGATAGCCCTGACATTTTATCCACAGTGTTTTACCAAGAAAACTGATTTATTCACATCCTTCTAAGAAAAATGATTAAAAGCAAGTATTTCCTTTATTAATAGTGATTCATTATTAGATTGTGAGAAAGTATGTATATGATATAGTTCTAAACACTAATATTTTAAATTATCTTACTGTTTTTCCTGCTATTTTCTGTGAGTTTTA